GTGTGCACATGTTAGTGGGTACATACAGTGTGTGTGTGTGTGTGTGTGTGTGTGTGTGTGTGTGTGTGTGTGTGTGTGTGTGTCTATTAAAGGGATTGGAGGTGGATTCTACTACAAGGTGCTGATTGTGCACAGCCAGTGACCTCATGTCTGCGTTTTCTGCCAAAATCACATAAAACAGTTCAGTACAGGCGCTGGGAATAAACGGCTGATAGAAACAACTATTCATGACAAACATGTTAATGTTCTGCAGCGTTTGTTCTGTTTTGTGTTGGCTGAACTTTAAAGTCTATAAGTTGAAGCGTCAGTCTTTCACAGTGCTGAAGTATTCCGGGTCCTGTGTGGTTGGGGCTGCCTGGTCCTGACCTGAAGCCTTGATGGAGGTTCTGGCCAGCGTCAGCTTCACTCCTGCGGGCCCCGAGGATCCTGTCCTCTCTACAGATATCACGTGCCCCAGGATGAGCTGAAACACGCAGAGAAGCATAGCATAATCATTTAGTAGTAGTATTTGGTATAGCCCTAGTGCACAAAATGTATATATTGTCAATAATTATGTTCTCATAAATGATTTCCTTATCACGTGGTGTTGAGATTTCTGGTTTTCAAAACAGATTTTTTTATCTTTTGTGACCTACACATAACAAACATATTATTTTACAAGGAATTATAGGGATAAAAGCGAATTTCTTAAGTCTTTATGAGACAGCTAATTCAAAAATAAATAACTGTCCTATTGCCTGTATAGTGCTATTAATCATTGTTTTGGAACTGCCTTCTCTCAAACATAATGTAACTAGATGGCGCTTGTGCCAAAAAATGATTTAAAAAAAGCTCAACACTAATGTATCTTTTCAGAATTCATTACTCAAGGTAATCTGCAGAGCTTGTTGAAAGCACTGTCATAAAGGAACTCTTTCCTGGACACCCAACAACGAGTAAGAGCAATAGTATGTTTTAAATATTGTGTGGTGTTTCTCTGAACGGCTGTTTCTTAGCGGAAAAACAGGCTACTTCTTTACTTAATGCTTCTATGTTTGTTCTGCTTTTATCAGTTAGCATACAAAGGAGGCTTGGACTGTACATCATTTCTCACTATTCGAGTTGAGGGGGAAGAATATATTGCTGCAGCTTTTCCTATTTGTTTAAAAGTGAGTGCATTTTCTTGTTGTCAGAAACTGATTCAACTACTTTGCTGAAATCACTGCAGGTCTCCTAAAGCCACACTGCGACAGTGAGCAGTACAGTACTCGTTGTGTGTCAGGGTGGCAGACCTCTGTAGGATGAACAGCAGCTTCCTCATGCTCTGGTTTGGGTCGGGATGATTCAATGTATTCCTCCCTCTGTGCTTTCACTTCCTGTACAGAAAAAGGCAGAACACAAAAAGTCCTCAATTCTATTATTCAACATCTATGACTTGAGGTTTTATTTGTGGATGGTAAATAGAAAACCTTTAGGATCTCATAGTTGGAAGTCCTGGAAACATAACTGTCCCATGACTTGGCTTTGAGCTCCTTCTGCTTCCAGTGAGACTTAATCTGCAACACAGACGGCAAACAAAGTGTCATTAAAAGTGCAACAAAAAAAGACAAATCTGCTGTATTTCCATGGATCAGTTCAGAGACAAATGATTCATTACTAATGGATATTAATTTAAATGTACTGGAAATGAATCAGAGACAATGTGGCAACTCTAAATCTTGTAAAAAATTAAATAAATAAGAAAATATCCTAATTCAGTTGACTTTGAAAGATTTAGTTTCAGTTTTCTGACTGAAGTAAACTGACAGCACCTCTGTGTACATGAGCTGCTCCTCGCTGATGTCCTCCTTCTCCTGCAGCTCCAGGATGCTCCTCTGTTCTGCTGCCACCTTCCTGGCCGTGTCCTCTGAGATCTTACAGACAGCGCTCAGAGCCTCCTCATCCGGAGTGGTCGGCCTCACACCGTCCAGACCCAGCTCCCTGCTGACCTCCTCCCACACCTCACCCACCTGCAGCACCAGAAACACATCAACGATCACACTGTTTCTGTCACTCAAACTCAACTTTTCTCTGGGTGTATTTGAATCACACTTTAACATGTTTGAAGGGGATATGTTGATCATTTAAGAGTTTAATTTAATTACAACATCTTATCTCGCAAATGTATAATTTAATATTCTGCTGGTGTAAAAGTGACATCATTCTAAAGCAGTTTTTCGTAGTACAAATACAACTTATTTCAAATCCATCACTGGCGGTTCTACCTTGAAGTCCAGATATCTCCTGACGACACTCAAGGTCACATAATGTTTTCTTGACAATCCAGGAAGGTCATGGAAACCTGCAAAAGTAACAGATCATTATTATTATTTACCGCATGCTTTTGCAAATGAACTGTGGTGCTCATTTGAAATGGCCTTGGCTGTCATACTTAATACATAGACTGCTGCTCTCATGTAGTCTAACTCTTTAATAATAGCCTCACCTAGTTTGCAGAAGATGGAGTAGATCTTTGAGCGCAGGTTCTCTGAGAGCTCCAGCACTGCTGCACTCGGCACGTTAGCAGGAAACGACAGCTGGGGGTCCTCCTGCTGGTAAACACCGAGGATGGGCCTCTGGGGATCTTAAAGTGGAAAAAGAAGAAAAAACAGTTTAGAAACATTTTTGGCCTTTAACACATGATATGTATGTTGTATATATATTGCTTTCTGAGAGTAATTATTGTTATTAATATCATATGTTGTAAGGATATTAAGAAGAAAAAGAAGAAGATGGACTTTTTTTCAGTTTTCCACTGAAAGTCAGTTTTATCTACAGGCACATGCATTATTATACAAGCACAAATACACACACAGTTATGGTCGTGCACACATGCATTGTTGTTGTTCAAATACACACAGTTATATATTCACATATGCATTTGAGAGGATCCAGAGCGGAGAGGCAGCCAGTCTAGCCGCCGCCAGGGAGCAGGTGGGGGTTCGGTGCCTTGCTCAAGGCCCAGGAGGTGAACTGGCTACTCTCCAGTTCCAGTCTGCACTGAACCACTTTTCTTCATGTTAGTCTCTTATAGTTCATATTATATATAGTCTAGGAATATGTATATAAGTATTCTGTCTTATGTCATATGAAACATGTTGTGGTATACATCTAGTCACATCTGTTGCTCTCATGGTCATCACGGATATAATCTGTTGATACGTTCTAATCAACAGGTCAGAGTAGTGACATGTAAGTATGTTAATACCTTCTCTGTTGTCATTTCATTGACAGTGTGTTGTTAAAACCCTGATAGCAGACTGACCTGCGATGCCCCCATCTTGGTCTCGGCTGACGTTCAGCTCTCCCTCCTCGTCCATCCACAGCTGCAGCAGGAACCTGGGAGCCGTCTGTCCCCTGCTGTCCCTCCAGCTCAGGATGTGAGACAGAGCGTTCGGGTTGTCACACAACTCCAGCAGGGAGGCCAGGACGTTACAGTACACACACCTGGGGCTCGACTGTTGGACAGAGAAACCCAGATATGACATTATATTATTCAACAATCACTTCAGTTAAGCTTCCGCCATTAGAAATCAAGATATGAGCTACTTACACTGAGTAAGTCCATCAGGAGAGACGCCCCCTCTTTAGCCAAAAAGTAATCTTCTGTAGTGTAGCAACCCACAATACAAGACCTGATGAGACACATGGAAACGTTCTCAGGTTTCTCTCTTTATGTTTACACGGAGAGGAAGACACATCATTATTATAGAAAACATAACAAATAAGGCAGTTAGCAGTTTCATCTATTATTGTATAGATTTGGATGAACTGACCACACACAGTCCACTGTGGAGAGGATGAGCTTGTTGTGTCCCAGGCCGCTGTAGAACTTGTCGGAGCCTTTCTTCAGGAAGTGCACCGCCATCTCCACTCCCTCTGAGCCAAACAGCTCCTGTGGTACAACACAGGACAGTCAGGGTGGAGATACTGTACACATCAAACTGTAACGTTCTGATCAGAGCAAGAGATTACATAAACACAAATAATACAAAAATAAAAGCAAAAATGATGGAGACCATAAAAACAATGGAAAATAATTAAAATTCAACATAAGAACTACATTTATTAAAAACAATTCAAAATAAACAAATATTTTCAGCTGCTGCATCGCTTAAAAACAAAGTAAAGTAACACAAATTAAAATCATGTTAGTGTTAAGTTGCAGATGGATGGAATAATAGTGTTTGTATTTAACAAAACTGAAATACAAACATTTTCACTCGAAGCATTAATGCAAAAATATGTAATGTGTTAATGTCTTGAATAAGGACATGCTTCATGTGGTACTATCGAACAAGACCGTACCAATTTTCCCAGGCATTGATATTATTTTATACAAACCAAATGGTCTAGATTTCGCTTTTCTGACAGGTGAGGTATAAAGTGTTTTGATCAGGGAGATGAACTCTGCTTTACCTTTCTGTGCATGTCTCTCTCACACAGTGCTGAAAGTATCAGTTGAATATCTGACTTTATCTCCAGGGAAACCAAATCATCGTCATCAGGACTCGCCTCCATCTGCATTAAGATCCCTGGGGAAATGCAACAGGTACATCTGTAAAAACTGTTTTTATGAAAACACTTTTTGCTTCTATTTCTATTTCTATTTACCCAGGAGCTGGTTGATGGTTCCCTGATCACAAAGGTCCTGGTTGACGGACTCTTCTCCTGATGATGTCACAGATCGCAGCGCTCTGATACAGTGCCGCATCTGAGCCTTCCTCCTGCCTCTTCCTTCTGCTACAGGGGAGCTGTGACCCTGACCGAAGAAAGCATCTGGAGGAAATATGTAGTAAGTATACTGTTACAATTAAAGCAGTGGAAAGTAAACAAAATCATTTATAATAATGTATTTAAAAAAAATCCTTTTAAACAATTTATTCTAACCATGTTTCATTTTTGCTTAGCTGAATAACAACATGTTATTGTGATTGTGAGTATATAAAGAGGAAAAAACAATATAAAGAGTAATAAATATATAAATACATGAGAAAAAATGATTGACAAAATATTAAATAATAATATTTATAAGCATCTACATTTATATTGTATCATTTATTTCTGTATATATATATATATATTTATTTATCAATGTTTTTTATTGATTAATACACTTTTTATATCATCTTAATTATTTAATTTGATGCCTTTATTTTAAAACACTTTCCCCCAATATGTTTTGTACTATTCCCTATTATCTTTGCTGTTTGTCTCTTTTGAATGTAGTTGTATAACGTTTCTTGTTTTCTTGTGTTATGTGCTATATTGTTTAAGAGCTTTGAGCTGCATCTTGTGTATGAAAGATGCTGTACAAAGAAAAAGTCAATATTATTTGAAATAAGTCTCTTCACATAGCGTCCTCCTCACCTTGAGCGACGCACCAGTCCAGCAGCAGCAGCAGGACAGCGTTTCCCTGGCAGGACATGTAGTCCTCCAACATGATCGGAGCGAGGGAGCAGAGGGTGGCGAGCGCCTGCAGCTGCACCTCTTCCTGCTGGGCGGAGGACCACTGCCGGGACGCTGAGCGGCGCTCAGGGGAAGCAGCAGGCGGCCTCACGAGCATCAGCACAGCAAGCAGGACTCTTTCCTCTTTATACAGCTGGGAGAAGGAAACATGGAGAGCGTTCAAAATGTTGCATTCATCAATACATTTACTGAAACAATACTGAGCGTGTGACTGACCTGGAGAGCAGCTAAGTCCTTTGACATTAAAACCAACAGATTCAAAAGCATCTTCTTCATTTTCAAGTCTTCGTTATTGTAGCTGAGCTTCAGGTTGCTGACCAAAGGGTTGTGACTTTTCACTAAAAGATAAAGAAGGACATTTTATTATGAAAGAAGGTTCTGCTGTATGTGGGGCAAATTCAAAAATATGTTTAAAGTGTTCCGGCTGATACATCCTGAATATTAGGCTCATTGTGTGACATTTAACAACAAATGTGAACCAACATATTGATGTTAATAACATCTCAAAATGATTAAAAGTATGTTCAATCTAAATGTTAATCTTAAATTAGTCAAATCTAATCTTGTTTAGTTTTAGACTTGGGATTTAGATGAAACAAGAGACATGGTTTTAACATTTAAATTCAGATTAAATATTTAGATTGAACATTTAGATCGAAGACTTACATTTCGTTTAAACACTTAGATTTCATATTTTTTGATGTAATATTAAGATTGAACTGTTTTTCACTATAAACATATTTTTTAACAATTACATATATCATGTTGTTTTGCCTTTGTGTTTCAAATATGAGGTAAATTAGCTACATAGTACCATATCAATATTTCAAATGTAAAAAAAGAAACAGAAATGTTAAGTCAAGAGGGGACTCACGCTCTGGAAATGTAGCAAAAACCACGAGCTGTTTGGCAAATAAGCTTTCCTAAAAACAAGAAGCACACTGTCAACACGAAGCATACTGGCAGTTTCTACACATAAAGTACATGGCGGGAATTAGTTCCAAATATCAGCTGCAGTTCCTTATACAACTATCTATCCTTACAATCAGCAGAGAGTTTGGGTTTCCAGCGATGAGAGTTGTGATCACAAGCAGATCGTTTCTGAGTTGGAGGTCAGAGTGTCGGAAACCGTTTATCAGCTGGTGAAGAAACGCTTCTTTCAGAGATCTGATGAACAGAACAGTTTTTGAGTGAAAATGCATGTGTTTGGGAAGTAGTGAGCCTGTGACTGGATAAAGGAGACTTCGGTTTAACTGAGATGTTAACAGGCATTTTTATATCGTTGTTCAGATTTCTTATAGGCCCTTGTTTAGTTGAATACATTCTAACTTTTCTCCATTGTTGGAATATTGAGATTCCTAAGAGATTGACATTTTAGGATACTATTGATTTCAGGACTTGTCTTACTAGAGTAAATGAAAGGTGATTGAATGAAATCAACTCTACAAGCATGCACTGTCCTCATCGGTCCCATGTGAAAACATGCTAAACCCACAGGAAACACGTACATGACACACTCCATGCTGCTGAGCTGAGCAGTGACCTCCGTGCTGCCTCTCTCCAGAAGGTTCCAGAGGATTTCGGAGGAGTGGAACAGGACCTGACCGTTTGGGTCGGGCTGGTTCATGTGAAGACAGATGGTCTCCGCTCCTCCTGCCTGCAGAATCGACGTACAGTTCATATCTGTTGTTGCGAAATCAGAATCAAGTTTATTGCCAGGTACGTTTACACATACAAGGAATTTGCTTATCTGTTGGTGCGAACATAAACAAGCTAACAAAATGAAGTATACTTGAGTATTTTTAAGAAACAATTTAGAATTAAAAAACGATGCTTAAGACAAGTACTTTCACCAAATGGAAATGTAACTATACACTTAAAAGCTAAAAAACAAAAACACTTAGGACAATGAGTATATGGCAAACTACAGTGTATTATAAAAATGAAATGGGATTAATGGGATTAATGGGATTGAGGAATAAACAACCCATTGACCTGTTGACATTGACACAAGGACAACAATCACTGTTTGTCTGATTGATTTGGTCATCTGAAGTAAGCACTTAGAGCAGGTTACTTTATCTAATGAAGTAGTTTGGATTGACATGTCTGACAGATCCCATCTTCAACTGGTTTAGTGTAAGCATAAACAAAATCAGTGACTGACCCGAGGAGCTGGAGAGGATCTGAAGTGTCTGCAGGAGCTGCAGCTTGATGCCCGGCTGGTTCTCCAGAGCGGCCATGGAGAGGAGCAACGTCTGAGCCAGGTCACTGCGCTCCAGCAGCTGCAGCCTGTAGCCTGGAGAGGTGGGCTGGAGCCCTGGAGAAACAGATTTAAAGAAAGATTATAACAATAGAATACATGTCTGCATGTAAGGTTAGAGGAACAACAAAAGAGGGCAAAGATGATAGACAAAACTAACTGAAAATAGGAGAAACAAAAAGAAAAACAATGAATATTGTATCATTTAAAAGGAAATCTGAGGAACCAGAACAAGTGACCAGTGACAAAAAGTCATTTCCAAAACAGTAAGAAAAAAAGTTTTCAAAAGAAAATAAGACACTACAAAGAAATGATAGCGGATTAAGTATAAAACAGTTGGAAATGACAAATAGACAAATTGACCAATAGATTCAAAAGAACATGAAATGTAAGCCTTATACTGACGGTGGATTTATAATAATAAATACAAAATATATATATGTCAATTTTCGTTTTTCATGTATCCAAAACTGCGTCAGTTAAATGCAATACGTTGTGATAAGAGATTTGTATTCGAAAAGATCATTGCTTGGGTTAGATAAGTGTGCTATTGGATACAATTTGCCTTAATTGATTTCTAAAGTGAACATGGAGGTTAAATAATGATTTGGGAGCCTTTATTCTGCAAGGCAATACAGGTGTGATAAACCAGTAGGATTCTAAGGGTCAAATATTATATGAAGATATAAGAACAAAGGAACAAGCATGCCACCACAGAAGCCATGAGAAAACCTCACTCAGTGCAAGTCTAGAATATCGGTTTTCAGAGTGGAAAGTCCGAGGCTTTGTCTTGGTGAGACCCTCCGTACCGTCAGGCAGCAGTTTAGGAGCCACAGAGCTGTAGAATGATTTCACTGACTCTACTATGTGCTGCCTCACTTCAGCATCGGACACCCTCATCAGACAGCCTGCCAACAGAAACACAACCGTCAGAGTCATCCTCACCCCTGAGCTGGTCTTTAAAGGAATAGCTAGCACTTTAGCTATACAAGAGAAATAAAGAAACCAAGGCAAAAGATACAAATGTAGGAAGGAAAATATGGACTTTGTTATGTCTATAGCAAGGTTTCGGTTTAGCAAGGTTTAGCAAAGGTTCGGCCACCGCATATAAAGTCCCATAAACATGTGTAACATGATGTTTACTGTGACGGTTGATCTATCATGTTTTGTCAACAGATCTGTTGTCCTGCTGCACCTAATGTGTATGTATCTGCCAAAGAAAACAGTCCTGTATAAATGCAGTGTTTACTACTGTTGAAGTTATTTAAAGCTTAAGCTATGGTGTCCGCTTCTGTGAGAAAATAACGGAGCGTTTTTATTCAAAAAATGTATTTGTATCTATTTTTTCCAGAATTCGCTTCAGAATCAATGTGTTGACTGCCACAGACATGTTTTGTTGATCAACAAATATATAGTGGTGGAAGAAATACTTTTTACAGTACTACGGCTTCCACAGATACATTTTTTTATGGATTTATTATCAAAGCATTTAATATATTCATTGCTATCGGGATGTTAAGAGCATTCCATGGAATATAACAAAAAGTGTATCTGAAGTGAATTACCTACCCTACCTTTAAGTAAAAGTAGAAATACCAGACAGTGTAAAGGAAAACTGTTTACAGTCCTGCATTCTAAAATCTTACCTGTGTAAAGTACAATAAGTATTACAATCAAATGTACTGTGAAGTAACCAAAACTAAAAAGTCTCTTTTTTTTCTTCTCCAAAATAATTATTTGATATCAAGTATAATTATGAATTCAATTGTCTATATCTATTGTTTTATTTGTGGCAAGCTAGTAAAGGTATTGAGCTTACTAACTACTTTTTGTACTGCTGCGGTATCATAATTCATAATACAGTCATAATATATTATTGATTTAATATTTGGTATACTTGTAATTGACCTGAAAACAAACAGTAACTAGTAAGTACAACATTATTGCCATCCGCAGAAATAGTGAGTAGGAATAAAACGAACATAAAATGGACATACACCGTAATTTACGAGTACCTCAACATTGTACAGTACTTTGAATAGCATGTACTGCACCACTGCACATATAATACTCTTATCCTTCAAGGTTTTAAATGAATTTCCCCTCACACACTGAAAAGAAGCATTTTGAAACTATGAACCCAACTTGAATACAGTGAGTGATCTGCGACCCATGTGAGGAGAGAACCTATGCGTCCTGCGCGTAGTTCAGCTCATCAGAGGATTTCGTCCTTGAGGAAGGGAAGCCTGAGGGAAGCAGAGCAACAGTCTGAAAATGTCCCAAACAACGACACAAATCTGTCTTCTTATGTGTAGGTTTGAATTAATTTCCTGTTTCTTACCTACAAATGTGAAGGTGCCCTCATAGAAAATGCGGCTGATATTCAGGTGGTCGTCACTTTCTCAGCACAGATGTTGAGTATTGTTGCGATGCCTGTCAGCTCCTTCAGAAGCTTTAAATCATTTAAGAAGTTTAACATGTGAAGGCTGTATGAATTGAGGAGGGGAATGATGGGCAAAAGAGTCCTCGATGAAGAACTGAGGTTTATTTCAGAACAGGGAAAATACTGACAGATACAGCGTTAGGGCGGTAAATAGAGTATTGTGAATTGACTGTGTGGCTCTGTG